CTACATCACAGCAAAGTTCCCAAGTCTTCTTTCTTTCTCTCTTTGAATTATGTTATAGATTTCGTGTTCATGAGAGGGGATTACATATAAAGGCAAAAGGCTTTCTTAAAACACCCAATCCCACAGAAGGAAAGAAAATAAAATAAAATCCCTTGTTATTTTTCTCTCCACTTTTCTCAAAACCCGTGAAGTCTGGCTCACAGCTTTTAGGTGTTTGGGCTTGGTGGAGTCGTGGACAGGAAAAAACTGAGTCCACACAGAGCTGACCCAGGAACCCAGAAACAGAAACAAGGGCCAGCCTTGCCAGTACTTCAGGGTACTCCTGTCTCTTATGCTCTCCCCAACCTTGTTCAGCCAGTGCTGACTTCCAGTCATTTCCCAGTAAAGTCAGACAATCAATAAATGACAATAACATGATACAGGCTCTCCACCCTGTCCAGCTGGGATCACTCTCCTTCTTAATACCAGTGCAGACAAGCACTGAATCCCTCCAAGGGACAGTTTTAAGCCAACAAGGCAGCAGAGTGGCTTAAAATCACCTCTCAGTGGGCTCAGAGCCTACACAATATCTGTTTTGGCTCAACAGATAGGCAGAAACTCATGGGGCAGCAGTAACTTTCACAGGGGCCCTCAGTTTCATTGCTTTTGTACTTCCCACGTCCCTTTGCCTCCAATGCCTGCCCTGTCTACCTCTGTGTGTGGGAATCATGCTTTCCCATGTGTCTCTGCAAAGTGCCCAGCTCTGCTGGTGACTCGATTTGTAATCCATGGTGACCTTTAGGCCAGCAGAGTCATCAGCACAGCCACAGTTTTATTTGCATTAACGTTAAATAGTGTGTACAGAAGCAAAAGGAAGCCTGCATATAATATCTCTCTTTTTTTTTTTTTTCCTTCCAAAAGGTTAAATTAGTATACATGCAATGGAATCTCCACGGTTTTCACTTTATCTGCTGCAGAGCTTGAACTTTAGTCTTTTCGTCCAAAGGGAGAAAAATCAATAGTATCATACTGATACACAAGAAACTTTATTAGAGCAGCCATGGGCATCTCCACAACCTTACCCTATCAAGCTGGCTTGCTAATTGGTTTGCAGCAGTGCAGTTGCCATGAAAATTTCCCAGGTCTGTCTTATGAAAATCTGGCTCTATCAGCATCAAGAACACAAACAGCCAGGGAAGCGGGCAAAGGTCGCTTCCTCGTTGTTGGGAACGGAAAATGAAGCTTGTTAACATTCTGCTGCTGCTTCTTCTATGGAGAAAAAAAAAAAAAACACATCAGTGCTGTGGGGAGCTTTCCTCTGGAGGATTGAACAAAGATGATCAAGCTTCTCCCTGCTCACTTCCACTCACCCATCAGGTTTTCATTGACGGGGAAGCCTGAAAAAAACCCCTGCCAGACGTGTCATTTCATACCTGCCTGAAGTCTTTAGCTTGGAGTGCTTCCCTTATTTGTCCATCACAACATAGTCTCTCTCCCTTTTACATACCATCTCTCCCCTTTGCTGAACCCTGGTTTGTTGCTGTGCTTAAACCAAAGCCGGATTCAAAACAACCAGAAAATCATCAGTGCATGAGCAACAATGAATTGAAATGATGTAAAGCTTTTGCCAGAAATGCCAATTATGGTTGGAGGAGAGGAGAGATGGAGTATCTAAATCCCCCCTGCCACTGGGCTCCAGTGCAGGAGTTTACATTTATGCCTGTGAGGCAAAAAATGTGACTTTGAGGGTGGTGTTGCCTGAGTGAATCTGTGCCAAGCAAGAACCTGTAGCAGATCCCAATGCACCCGTCTAAGGAACAGACGCTGCCAAGTAAGTTCAGTTCACACGGGGTGTGTTAGCCACACAAAAATAGCACCAAGGCTCTCTGGTTTGCACCAGAGGTTTTCCACAGCATCCTGTGATGGAAAACGTCCCCTGACATCTTGCTCAGTCCATCTGAAAGGCCAGATGAACAGTAGAAGATGCTCAAACCTACTTTTCCTCCCCTACTCCCTCCCTTATATTTCTTTAATTCAGAATGTGGGGCCAAAAGTAAGTCAGTTTTACCCCTTCATGATGACAAGAGACTTCAGCTTCCAGCTGAAGCAGTGAATATGGGGCCACTGCACAAGCAGTGAATATGGAGATGTCATTTTCTCCAGAAACTGAGACCTAAGTAGGAGTGGTTTTTTTTTACATGTGCAGTCTTCCGTGATGAAAACTTTTTTGGGACCAACCACCACTCAGATGTAAACCACTAACCAACCCATGGCCTAGAGCCTATACATTGCAATTTCAAATGTGCAGAAGATAAATGCGGTTTACAGCCAGCTTTAGGCCAGGCAAATTCAATCTCCTAATCACTTTATCCCTGATGGTAGGGTCTGGATAGCTTGGAAGCATTCCCTGTTTGTGTGAGCATGCAGGCACCATGGACTTCTAGGATCTCCCTCCCAGGACAGTGGATTTGGAGCCTGGCTGTTCATAGCAGCTCCCTCTAAACCTCATATCCCCACACAGAGAGGTTCTCAAGGCTAAACTGCCTTTAGGGCTGATGGGTGGCCATGCTGTACCTGAAGATCTAGTTCATGGTCTCATATCCAACTAACTGCTTGTGTTGGTATAGGACTCTGATGTTTAACTATCTCTGTTGTTGTTGCTAAAAAAAGAAGGTAAACAATTTGTTGCAGAAAGCATATGGAGGAATTATAGAAAGAATAATGCCAAAATGGCACCTTTTTTGTTCATAGTTTAGTATGAAGATATGTTTGATTTCTCCAGCCAATTTTCGGAGGATGCTTTCAGCTTTCCCATATTGCAATGGAAGGAAGCTAATTTGGGGATCAATTATGCAAAGTCTTCTATCCTGGCTGGTCCAAAATATTAAACTCCAAAGGGATCAGTGGAGTGGATCAGAGAAAAAAACAAAACAAAACAAAACAACTACAAAAGTGTGAAATATGACTTCATGAACCAGATTTGACAGAAATAGAGGATTTCAACATGAAGTTTGATGTCTAATCTCTTTCCTTAATATAGACTGGTTGTGCCAAACTATGAGAGTCTTGTCTGTTTGTCCTATTCACTTTTCCATTAGCTTAGCCACACCAACAGATCATCTTAAATTTTTAGAAAATAGAAAGATGAATTTTTTTGTCATTATTAAAAGAAATAATATTTGTTTCCAAGAAGAAAAACAGATTTTCTTTTTTTTTTTTCTTTTTTTTTTTTCAGGTAGAATGGAGGATACTGGACAAGAAAACAAATTGATTCAGAAAGACATTGAACTCTACCAATAGCTCAAATCTCTTCAAATTGGTAATGATTTGCAATAGTTTGTTATTATGCTACCAGAGTATGCTGAAATGTCTCTTCCACCACCTCACACACAGATGCACACAGTTTAAATACAATATTAAAGATACCCTTGACTAGTAAAGATCCTGTCAAAGTATGCTAATCAAATCCAGCTTTGATTTCATGCTTACTTTTCTGCTCATCCCAATTGTAAAGCTAAGCTGTAATTAATACATAAGAGGCTGGTGATTATACAGTATTAGGCTGAACATATAGAGTGAACATACAGCATTAGATTGCATTTCAGTAGATCAGACACTGTTGAGAAATAAGATCAACTCACAAGCTCTGGTATTAGCAGGCTGCTAACTTATCTTGGTGACAATCTTGAGTTCTTGTATTGATCTCCTGCTGCTGGTGACATCTTATGCATCATCTCTGTGTGTGTGTATACTTATATGTGTGCATGCAGACTAAATAGGCCCTTTCCCTTTTTTTTTTTTTTTGTTAATTCATAGATTTATAGAGTTAGAGAATATTCCGAGTTGAAAAGGTCATTGAGTCCAGCTCCTGGCCCTGCACAGGACAGGCTCAAGGATCCCACCATGTGCCTGAGAGCATTGTCCAAACACTCCTTGTACTCTGCCAAGCTTGGAGCCATGACCACTGCTCTGGGGAGTCTGTTCCAGTGTCTGAACATCCTCTGGGTCCACATCACCCGGGGAATCATTAGTATTCCTCTGGAAATGGGCCTGATAGGTGACTGCCATGGCAGAGTGATGTCCCTCCATCAAGCAGAACTGCAATCTGTGCTTCCTCCTTGCCTGCTTGCTCAGGGAGAGCCCAGAAGAAGGGCAGAACATGTAAAGGAATAAACATTGCAGCATTACCAGGCACCCTACTGCCAGAGGGCACATGAAAACTACAGGAGTCCCTTCAGACAGCTTGTCAAAGCCCAGCTAAGGTCTTCTTTGTATCCCCCTGCCAGTAGAAAAAAAGAGCATTCCATAGTCTGAAACACTCAGAACTAGAAGAAAGGGCATATGACTCCAAGAGAAGTCCTGGGATTCATCATTCAGCTTTATAGCATAGGAAATCACACTAACTGTGATAAATAGTGAAAAGCTAAGATGAGGAAAAAGATGCTCCCTATGATCCTGAACCTACTTGTGCTTTCTCTGGGGTAAACCTGGAGCTGTTGTAGTGAAAACAAGCAACACAGGTCCAGACTATCAAAGTCAACTTGGCACCATAAAAGTTTAGGCAGATCATTCTTTGAAGAGTGCTATGCCTCAAAACTATTTTTTATTTGAAAAAAAAAAGAACGACAAGAAACCACAAAAAACCCAACCAACCGAAAAAAAACCCAACAAAAAAACCCAAACCAAAACAAACCAAGGAAAGGAAGGTTCTGTTACAGAGGGAGCTTTATTCTACATACATGGACCAATTCCATTTTGCTGCAGAGCCACACCAGAACAATCTGAGCACAGCCATGCCGTGGATGTTACGTGGCATTTCTCTGCACCGTAACGAGATCACATGTGAAAGCCCAAATTATGCAAATGAAAAGGCTCCAGTAATACTGTTGAAATATTCCTGGAGTGTACACTTGACAACCTCAAAGTACATTTCACACCACTAATGACTTCATCACTAACACAATTGTCATGAGTCAAGCAGTTTCCATAGCAACGCCCTAGTACAGCTGTTTACCCATATAAAGTACTGCACCTACTTAGTTCCATATACAGACAGATCACTAGATTCCTAGGTACTGAAATTGAAATAATTCAATTTTCAATGTCTCTCTTTATGAAGTGATTCTGCCAGCTATAGGTATTAGCATATCAATGTGACTTTGACAGGGTCTGCTGCAAAAGACATATTTTGCAGGCACTTCATGTCAATTAGAGCCCTAACTGTTTCATGGAATAATCATTCCTGCCAGATTAAGGTCAGGCTGCAAGGTAATTTAATTGGTGCCATTATATCTAGGGGGAAAAAATGCTCTAATAAAGTGCACACACTGTAGCTGCCAGTGAGGATGTTCTATGCAACATGAAAGGGATTGCCTTCCTAAAGTGTATGGGTAAACCATTTAGAGAGAAAGAAATAAGATGGAAACAACTTCAGATGCTTTGTTTCCAACAAAATTCCAGTGTGTTTGACCAAGGGGGAAATTGTATTTCGCTTGAAGTAGTACTACTCACAAGGGAGGAAGCACTGAAGAAAAATAAATAAGAATAAGAAGAAAAAAATCCCATCACTCTGTGCACTTCTTCTTATCTTCAGTGGAATGATAAACACTTTAATTAAAAATCTGCAAAAATCAAAACAAAGTCTCTTTTTTCCCAGGGCTCTGATGGCTGGGAAGTAGCAAGCCAGGCGGGAATTATCCTGGCCTCCCCCTGTGGAGCGAGACCTGCAGGATTATTCTTTCCTCTTGTGGAAACTTCCAGCCAACAACTTCTTTCATGAGCAGCATGAATCCAGTTTCCTATGGAGTCAGGTAGAGTACCCTCTAAATTTTCCCTACCTATCCATAATTCAGCTTCTCACACTTTTTCCAGAGTCTCCTCTCCCCCTGAATGAGTCAGGTCCTGGGATGCCCAGTTAAAAGAGGAATGGCATGACTGTGTGTCAGTGTGGATGTGGGAATGACAACTGTGCAGTCAGTCACTGGGGTCTGCTTTCTTCTAGCTTGAAAAGGACAATAATTCAGATAGTTTTTATTTATTTCTCCAGGTCTTGATTTCCACAGATTTTTTATTTTTTATTTTTTTTTTTTTTTTAGAAATTTGATTATCCTTGAAGCACATGTTGGATTTTTTCTCTACTCTCTAAAGCCAACCAAAGTTTTCCAAAGACTTATGGATGGATAGTGCAGAGTGTTCTCCAATAAAAGCTTACAACGCAGGAAAATGACAAGAAAATAAGATTCTTAGCTCGGTATCTTCATCCCATGATGACTTATCTAGTGCCAACAAACTTACAACAGTTGTCATGATTTTGAGCTTACTCTCTTCCTTGGCAAAACAGAGCACTGGGAAAAACATCTGCCTTGCAAATGGATTCCTCCTCATAGAGTTGGTCATGCCAGGGCTATCCTGTGCAGGGCCAGGAGCTGGACTTTGATGATCCCAGTGGGACCCTTCCAACTCAAGATGTTCCATGCTCAGCACTGTGGTCATAATCACACTCTAAATACCAGTACAGAAAAGATTAAATCAACTGAAGAATATATGGTGTTAATCAAAGGCTCAAGGCCAGTTTTTCAATTATCTAAACTGTCTCATTTTCACAGACATCGTCTAGGCTGCAATCACTTAAATGAAGTTGAGGATATTTATAAAATATTGTGACAGGTTCAAGAACAACAGAGGAAAGTTTAGTTTTATTCTATATAACACAAAATGTTTACAATGTCTTTGAAAGGAGACTGCAAATTGTAACTTTTATGTGACACTATTTTATTTTTTTCAAAGAAAAAACCATATTTCTAAACTGCAGTTTCAGACTGTTAAATTCTACATCCCTAGAATGCTTGTTTTTATGACTTTATCATGAAATAAAATATTGTGTGCTTAGAGTTGCTTTTACAATGTTGTGATATGAAAACTGATCATGATCAACTTAAGTTCAAAAAAACAGAGACAAGAATGAAAGTTTTCTTATTTTCTGGATGGGGAAATATATATACATGTATAAAACCCAGGATGTTCTGCCAAACCAGAACAATTTTTCAAAATTGAAGTGATGGAAAAAGATCAGATTCTGAGCCCTTTGAATTTCCCTGTGAATGTTTTAAAACACTTTATTAATTTTTACTATTTCCTTTTAGCTTCCACTCAGGCTTACAGTGGAACTATTTAAGCAAGATATAGGGAAGATTTTTTTGCTGCTATGAATATTGCATAAACTAACTGAATTAAGGTCATGTAAAGGTAGATAATAAATGGAAATGAAAGTTTTTTGTCATTATTATTTTCCTTTAAATATGTCTGCTAGAACATTTTGGTTCAGCATCCCATTCGAATACATTTGATCAGCCATAAATTATCCATTAAAATCTCCATTAATCCCATTACAAATGTAGTCTATCTTCCTTCATTTGGTTCAGCCTTGGTCATGAATGCAAGAACACAGATAATGGGGTGAAAGACAGCTTTGGATTTGAGGGCTCAGCAGCTCAAACAACTTCAAAGCTCTTAGACCAATTTATTTTTTTGTTGAAGTGAAGGGCTTCGTGCTTTTGGGATGATAGATATTGCAGCCACAAACCAACAAATTATAGTGTCATTGAGTTTGGAAAAGTGCTTTAAGGTCATCAAGTCCCACTATAAAACTAACACTGCCAAGCCTACCATGTCCCTCAGTGCCACATCTACACAGCTTTTAACGCCCTTCAGGGATGGCGACTCCACCACTACCCTGGGCAGCCTGTTCTTATGCTTAATAAACCCTCTTGGTGAAGAAATTTTCCCTAATATCTAACCCAAACCTCCCCTGGCACAGCTTGAGGCTGTTTGCTCTCATCATGTCCCTTGTTCCCTGGCAGCAGAGCCGGACACCCATCTGTCTCCCCCTTCCTCTCAGGGAGTTGCAGAGCCAGAAGGTTCCCCCTGAGCCTCCTTTTCCCCAGGATGAGCCCCCCCAGCTCCCTCAGATGCTCCTGGTGCTCCAGACCCTTCACAGCTCCGTTCCCTTCCCTGCACACGCTCCAGCCCCTCAGTGTCTCTCTTGTCTGAGGGTCCAGAACTGCCCCAGCACTGGAGGTGCCTCAGCAGTGCCAGCACAGGGAGGGCACTGCCCTGGCCCTGCTGCCACACTGTTGCTGAAACAAAGATGTTCATGGAACAGCCATGAACAGCCAGTTTCTCCATTTTTCCTGCTGTGGGGAATGGTGTAAAAGGCTTTGCTAAATTCCAGGTAGACAACACCCACAGCCTTTCCCTCATCCCTCAGCAAGTGGGTCACTTTGACAAAGGAAATCAGGCTGGTCAAGCAGGACCCCACTTGCAATATCACATTGTTATGCTACCCACGTCTTCCAGGTACACCTGCCTGGGGCTGGAAGAGATGAACACAACTTTGATGAGTTGTTAGACTTGTGCACAATTTTGCTAAGTAAGGCCAATTGCATCATGTAGGAACTCCTGAACCCTGGGCAGTGCCTGGCCAAGGACGTGGGAGGTAGTGGTGTGCAAATAGATTGATTTTCTGCTTGCTTTATGAAGTATTACAGTTCCATTTTTCTCCTTCTTAGTCTTTTTCTTCAATAACACCCTCCTCTTCAGTTCCTTGTCATAGGAATGAACTTGTTCCCTGAGTCCCTAGAAAGCTGGATTCAATAGAAGTGATCTCAGGACCAGGACAACATCTATATCACAGGAGGAATAATTCTTTCTTTTCTTTCTTTCTTTCTTTCTTTCTTTCTTTCTTTCTTTCTCTCATTCTTTCTTTCTCTCATTCTTTCTTTCTTTCCTTCTTCCTTTCTTTCCTTTCTCTCTCTTTCTTTCTTTTTCTTTTTCTTTCTTTCTTTCATCCTTTCTTTCTTTCTTTCTTTCTTTCTTTCTTTCTTTCTTTCTTTCTTTCTTTCTTTCTTTCTTTCATCCTTTCTTTCTTTCTTTCTTTCATCCTTTCTTTCTTTCTTTCATCCTTTCTTTCTTTCTTTCTTTCTTTCTTTTTCTTTCTTTCTTTCTTTCTTTCTTTTAATTTTTGGATGACAAGGAAAACAATAGATGGAAAGTTTTCCATTTGTGAAAACATTTTATTTCAAAGGTTTTCAGACACCAAATAAACTAAACAGCTGATAAAAGCCTATGAAAACTGGGAAAATATTGTCATAAACAAACGATTAAAAAAATACATTTCCATCTGGATGAAACTCCCTTCCGTTCTCTTTTTTTTTTTTTTTCTAATCTTATTTTGAGTGAAATGATTTTTTAGTAAAGCTCTCAGCAGATCTGGAGATACCTCTCTGATGTTAAGACCTGACTGCATAATTGATCTTAGCTTTCTCTTCGTCAGGTAAAGCAAAGCAGATGAGTTTAGCCAGGGACACCTGTTTTGCGATAAGGAGACTCTTTAAGAAGCAGACAACACTGTTTTGGCCATACTGTCTTTACAGCCTGCAACATCCTTATTTAGCCAGCAAAGAAACCCGTTATCAGAATAAGATATTTCAAGTTTTGAATGCTTGCACACAGCTGCTACGACGCATAAATGAGAGAAAACAGCTCAGAGCACGAGCAAAGGAAGAAAATATTAAGTTATATATTAAGGGAATAAACCTGACAAAGGATTTTATGTCTATTTTTCTACAAAAGGAAGACAACTTGCAAATATATATATTTGGAAAGAGGAGGCAGTAATGAACAAGGACAGTGCATTTCCCAGTAGGTGATGAGTAAGCCGAGGGATAGCTGCAGGATGTCATGATGTACTCTGCTGTCACAAAGATTTTACACATGGGCTGGACAACCTGCTCAATAAATCAACATACATCTATCTTTTTTTTTTTCTTTCCTAGGTATCTATTTGGAAACTCACAGCCACATTTTAATGTGTGCAGAGTGTTTGTTAACTTGGCATAGCCTTTTCATCTTTTTCTACCCTCTGCTATCTCTTGGGGGTGAATCATCATTATGTAACAGAGCACGCAAGGTACCATGTGATGATCCTTGTCCTTGCTGAGGAAAGAATAAAAAGAAACTGAAAAAACATGGAGCAACATTAACACAGAAGTACACACGCATCCTAGTAAACATATACAGGATAGACTGGCTACTGGGTATGTTTTTCTCACCTCTCAACAACACTTATTGATTTCAGTGGGAAATGTTCTTTCCTAAATGATACAGACTCTGGTCTCTGGGGTAATTAATGGGATTCTTTTTTTTTAATCAGCTCTTGCACTGAAGAGAGGAATTCCAGCTAACTCCAGCAGTCAGAGTGGGCTTGCAGTAAGCTCTTGCTCAACCTTGTCTTACTCTCTTATGCACTGCACTGATTTAGGACTCAAAATGAAGTGAATTTTTGAGATTAAAAGGTTGATGTAAAGCTGGAGAAGATCCACTTGATGGTAACACAATAAAAGTAAAGAGTGAGACTGTTGCACAGGAACAGTCTCGCTCATTATTCATTGTTATTAGCAAAATTGAACAAGACTTAAAAAACTGCCTAAAACAGAGGAACAGCAATTTGGGCTATGCCCATCCCAGATCTCACACTGCACTGGGAATGGAAAACATCAATAGAATTCTTAGTTATCAGTAGAATTTTTCATTATCTCTCCAACTCCAACAAGTGGCACCACTACTGTTCCCATGAAATGTAGCCTACACCCAAAGTGTGTTGGAAGCACACTGACTGGGAGAGAGGGATCAGGGTTCATCTCAGATGCTCACCAGGGGATATGGCCCATCTATAATTGAGTAGGTTGTTCACTTGGAAAGACTGAGGCACCGTGGGCTTCTCATGAACTGAGTGCTGAGTTCAGATTTCAATAAACAATGTCGCCTGCAGTGGAAACCAGCAGGACTATCCCTGCCACAGACAGCCACAACAGCAGCAAAACCCTGTCTTGGAGAGTAGTCCTATCTAAGATCAGGGGAATCAGGGGAAGATAACAGCATTTGCACTTCAGATGTTAAATAGCCTTGTATGTCATAAAACAGGCTGTCCCACGTTTGGGAGGAAAAAGAAGGAAAAAATGCTATCAGGTGCTGCTCTGAATATTCAGACTTCCCCAGGAACTTTCATAAGGTTTAATCTTTTCTGCAGATGTTTCAGGAGCGTTTTTTCATTCAACAACTTGCCGCTGTCTAGCTGTCTGATGTATTATTTTGCGGGTGGACTAAC